GCCGCCCCCGCCGTGCTCCGACCCCCGGTGCCCCACCTGGGCCGCCGTCGGGGTCCAGCCACGTCCCTGCTGTCCGCAGCTTGTCCTGCACCGTCTTCACCTTTGGCCAGACAGGCTCCGGGAAGACCTACACCCTGACCGGACCTCCTCCCCAGGTGGGCTGAGCGCTGAGGACCAGGGAGGAGAAGGGACTTGCCCAGTTTGGAGCTTTTGGGTTCAAATTTAGGTCCCTTTGCTTACTAGCTCTCAGTTTCTTCATCTGTAAATGTCAGTGGTAGTACCGGCTGTGAGAATTAAATGGGCTGTTATATGGAAACTTGGCACGGTTTCTGGCACACAGTAAGTGCTCTACAAAGGCTAGAGATTGCTGTGGGGATGATCATGACCCAACCCCAGGCTCAGCTGTCTTTGCCCCCAGGGGGAGGGAGTGCCCGTACCCCCCAGCCTGGCTGGCATCATACAGAGGACCTTCGCCTGGCTGTTAGACCGTGTGCAGCACCTGGGTGCCCCTGTCACCCTTCGCGCCTCCTATCTGGAGATCTACAATGAGCAGGTAAGAGAATGAGGTGGAAATACAGAAGAGGAGGTGGGGACTGTTGTCAGTAAGGTCTGGGGGTGGACGGAACATGGACTCAGAGAGAGTCCCTTCCTTTCCCCTCCCCCTCCCCTCCGAGGTTCGGGACTTGCTGAGCCTGGGGTCTCTCCGACCCCTTCCTGTTCGCTGGAACAAGACCCGGGGCTTCTATGTGGAACAGCTGCGGGTGGTGGAGTTTGGGAGTCTGGAGGCCCTGATGGAACTTCTGCAAATGGGTGCGTGCTACTTCAGGGGAGCTTCCAGGGGTGGCAGATGCCCACTCCTCCTTCCGGGGGTGGGGGATGCCCACTCCTCAACCATTCACTGAATGTGGGCTTGGGCCTTGGCTGGAGCTGTGGCTGCAAAAATGACTCTTGTGGGGGAGAAGGATCGGCAAACCAACAATTCAAAGACGCGCCCCAAGGATGCCCCCAAACCACCACCCTCCAAGGACCGGTGATTCTGCCTTCCAAACTCCTTTCAGGCCCAGCCCTCCTCTCCAGCCCAGGGCCTCTGCCTCAGTCAATGCTCCCTAGATAGTCCTCCCCATGCTCTCACCTGCCAATCCATTCTCCTCCATGCAGCAAACCACATCCCTCTTTGGCTCCATGCCCTCCACCCTTGCAGTGCCCTGAGGATAAAGGCTATGCCTCTTAGCTTAGCCTATAAAGCCCTTCCATTCCAGCCTCGTTCATTCATTCATTCACCAAATATTGATTGAGCACCCCTCCTCTGGCAGGCACTGGGGACACCAATCCTCAGGACTCTGGCCCCAGCATTGTGCCACATCTGATCTTTCTGCCTCTGTCCCTCCACACAGCAGTAGGAGAGATGTCAATAAAATGTAAATCTGTTACTCTTCTGCTCAGTTCTCTTCATTCGCCTTTCACCCATCCATGCCAGAGCCAGACCCAACATCCCATCATTCCCTGAACCGACACCCACTTTCCTGCCTCTCTGCCTTTGCACGGGCTGGCCCTTCCTCCAGGATGCCTTTGCTCCTTTTTCTTCACTGGTGATGACCTGTTCTTCCTACCAGGTCCAGCTCCTGCTGCTTCTCCCCTCCAGGTCTTAGCCGTCGAAAGAGCTCAGCCCACACTCTGAACCAGACCTCCAGTCGCAGCCATGTGCTGCTCACACTCTACATCAGCCACCAAACTGTGAGTGCCCCGGCCTGGGGAAAGAGCTGGCCCAGGGCCACCCAGCAAGAGTGTCTAAACCAGCCTGGGCATGCACGGGAGGTAATAGTGGCAATCCTTGGCCTTGTGACCTTGTGTCTTTGATGGGACAGCCCCTCCCAAGTCTCCATCATGCCCTGACCCCCAGCCCCAGCAGATGCCTCCTGTGGATCCTGGGGAGCCTCCTGTTGGTGGGAAGCTGTGCTTTGTAGACCTGGCTGGCAGTGAGAAGGTAACAGCCACAGGATCCCGTGGGGAGCTGATGCTTGAGGCCAACAGCATCAACCGCAGCCTGCTGGCCCTGGGTGAGACCTTGGGGGCCAGTGGGTTGATTTCTCTGCACCTGACCATAACTGTCTACAGGGGGGATACCAGCTACCAGAGGATTGTAGTGCATAGAGGATTAAAGAGCTGCAATTGGGCCGGCCCGTGGCTCACTTGGGAGAGTGCGGTGCTGATAACACCAAGGCCACAGGTCCGGATCCCTATATAGGGATGGCCAGTTAGTTCACTTAGGAGAGCGTGGTGCTGCCAACACCAAGTCAAGGGTTAAGATCCCCTTACTGGTCATATTTAAAAAAAAAAAAAAGAAGAAGAGCTGCAATCCGGGAGCCAGAAGCCTCATTCTGGCCCCAGCTCTGCTGTTGACTTCTCCCTCTTAGAACATCATTTATGAGTCTACAAATTCTAAGGGTCTATAAGGATACATTTCTGATTTGGGAGGTAAAAACACTCACCTGCAGAGTGTGAACACTTAGACATTTGGCCTGTCCCTTGTGCAGCTGGAAAGACTGAGGCCCACTGAGGAGCAGGGAATTGACCAGTCTCCCCATCCCCAGCCCAGGTTAATGGACCTTGAAACCCTTAAGAGCTGGGCCTTGGCATTCCTCTGTGGTGTACATGGGAGATGTTCACAAAACTCCTTTTCATTCAATCTGTTTGTTACAAGTTTCCTGAGCCCCTGCTGAGTGTCAGGCCCTTTGCTGGGCATTGGGGATCGGGGGTGGACAAGGTCATCTCTGCCTTCGTGAAGCCCCAGTCTGGTGGTGGAGACCAATGTGAATGAGTAATAAGATCACGTGAAAAGATGGGTTTTAGAGTTAACACAGGCCTGGGTTGAGATCCCAGCTCTGCAGTGTCCCTGCTGGGTGGCCTTGGGCAAGTGGTATGACCTTTCTGGGCCTTGCTCTCCCCACCTAGGTCACTGCATCTCCCTGCTCCTGGACCCACAGCGGAAGCAGAGCCACATCCCTTTTCGGGACAGCAAGCTCACCAAGTTGCTGGCAGACTCACTAGGGGGGAATGGGGTCACCCTCATGGTACCCAAGGGGGGCTGGCAGGGAGGGCTAGGTCCTGAGAAAGGGGCTCCTAGAGAGGAGCACTAAGGTAGAGTCCTCCCCAGGTGGCCTGCGTGTCCCCCTCAGCCCACTGCCTTCCTGAGACTCTCAGCACTCTGAGATATGCAAGTAGAGCTCAGCGGGTCACCACCCGGCCACTGGCCCCCAAGGTGACTGGAGGGAGACACAGGCAGAGGGAAGGGCAGGGGAGATGGTGGGGAATCAGGAAATAGTTGGAGCCTGAGTTGACATCAAGGTTAAAGTCTGGGTCAGGGTTGGGATTAGGGCTAGAATCCTGGAAATGGTTTCATGGTTGGGTAGGGTGGAGTCAGTATCTCAGCTAGAGCCATGGGCAGGGTTAGGACAGGTCTAGGGTTGGAATCTGAGTTGGGGTATAATTCAGGGCCTGGCCAGGATCCCAGATGGTATCATGGTTAATTCTGAGTTGGGTTGGAGTCTGATAGTGGTCTTGTTTGGAGTCAGAATCTGGGCCAAGGTTTGGACAGAACTGAGTTTGGGGTTGGACTTAAAGTCAAGTCCAGCTCAGAGTGGGAACCTCCAGGATGATATAGTTAAGACAAGGTGCTCCCTCCAAGTAGATGCAGCCTGGTGACAGGATACAAGGCTGGCAAGTGAAGCATGGGTTGGATTTTACGCCCACTCACTTCCCACCCCTGGAAGCCCTTGTGCAGTGCACGACTTGTGTAGCCACAAAGAGTGGCTCTTGGCCTTTTCCTCTCCAGTCTCCTGTGGCAAAGCAGCCCCAACGTTTGGAGACTGAGATGCTACAGCTCCGGGAGGAGAACCGTCGCCTGCGGTTCCAGCTGGACCAAATGGACCCCAAGGGTACTAACTTCCTGGGGGCAGGGCGGGATGTGGATAGGGTCCAGGGCTGCTGGGGATTCAGCCACCTCCTGGTTCCCTGCAGCCTCGGGGCTCAGTGGGGCCCGGGTGGCCTGGGCCCAGCGGAACCTGTATGGGATGCTACAGGAGTTCATGCTGGAGAATGAGAGGCTCAGGTAGGGCCCAGCCCACAGCCATGGGGACTCTGTCCCACCCCTCACTGCTAAGCTGTTTCTGCCAAGCTGCATCCCTCCCTGGGTCCTGGTTCCCCTCTGTCCTCACCGCCTCCTGGGGCTGGTACTATACTGCATTGAGGAGGGGCTGACCAATACCCCCACCAGCCCCACCTCCTGTCACCTTCCTGGGGCTGCTCTCCCCCAGGAAAGAAAAGAGCCAGCTGCAGAGCAGCCGAGACCTGGCTCGGAATGAGCAGCACGTCCTGTCCCAACAGGTCCATGAGCTAGAGAGGTGAGCATGGCCACCAGCCTGGAGACAGGATTGGGACAGAGGGCAGCTAGGAAAGGGGTGGCTTGAAATGGGAAAGAGTCTGATCCCTGGATCCAGACTACTGGGGTTCAGTTCCACCTCTGCCACCTCCAGCTGCATCACCTTGAGCAAATCATTTAACCTCTTGCTGCCTGGGTGTCCTCTTCTGTAACGTGGGGATCTTGGCCATGCCAACCTTACAGAGTTGTTTTAAAGATTGGACTAAATGAGTTAATACATAAAGCATTGAGAACAGGGCCTGGCACATAGTAAGTGCTGCAGAAGTATTTGCTGAAAGGGCGACTTGGAGACCAGCCTGGTGGCAGGGTTGGGGGCTGCAGGCACAGACCCTGTGGTTTTTTCCAGGTGCCTCCTCTCTGCCTCCTACCTTCACCAGCTGGACCTTGGCCCAGCCCCACCGTATCCCTGCTTTATGGCACCAGCTCCCCCCTGCCATGTGAGTCTCACTGCCCAATCTGGAGGGGTGACCAGCAGGGATATCACGGAGCCTCTGACATGCCCTCTTGCAGGCACTGCCACCCGTCTGCCCCTGCTGCCACCTCTGCCCTCTGTGCGGAGCACCTTTGGCCCACTGGGCCTGCCCACGGAGGGAGCGCCACCTGCCACAGGTAGGGTGAGGCAAGGCTGGGAGAACTTGATTTAGCAGTCGACAATCCAGGAGGCTCTAAAGCCCCAGGGATTCCAGGGTTCCAGGCTGGATCACGGGCAGTGAATGGCTGGCTAAGGGCTCCCTCTGCCCAGGGTTTGGAATAACTGTTTACCTCGCCTCCCCCTGCTCCCCACCCTGCCTCCCTTTAGAAACTCACTCTGTCACTCACTTACATATTCACTCATTTTTGTATTTACTTGTTCATGTACTCAGCCATCCCTTCAATAACTCTCCCCTACAATGCTTGGTTTGTGCCAACCTCTATTCTGGGCACTGAGGATTCAGAAAGAGACCAGACTGGTTCCTGTCCTCAGGGGGCTCCCAGCCTCAGGAGAGGACACTACAAGAACCACCTGCTGCCCACAGAAGAAAGTGACTGAGACCCCACCCCTTTATGTCAGCCTGACTTTTTTAGCTCCCTGTGGGGCAGTCATGGTGGGGGGTCATGGTCAGCACCAGGGAATTGGGACACAGAGAGGCAGGGCTGAAGTCACCCAGTGTGGGCCCTGGTCTCTGCAGGCACTAGGTCCAGAAGCTCCAGGTGGCATGCCCCTGTCTGCCCGGCTCCCTCCCTGGGTACCCCCATGCAGCCCCAGTTCTGCCAAGTGCCCCAGAGAGAGGTAGGTGCAGCTCTGGGGCACTGGGTTGGGGTAAGAGGAGGCCTGGGGAACCCAAAGGCTCACCTCTCACCATCCAACCCACCCTGGCCCAGGAGTCACAGCGACTGGACCCAGACCCAAGTCCTGGCAGAGATGCTGACTGAGGAGGAGGTGGTACCCTCTGCACCCCCCCTGCCCATGGGGCCCCCAAACACGTCACCAGTGCTGAGAGGTGAACAAGGCAGAGAGGGAGGGGCACCTAATGTTTTCTGTGATGTTGGGCCAGGAATCACATACTCCAGGCCTCAGTCTTCCCATCTCTGAAATGGGGTGGGTGTTGAGAGGTGATTTCTAACATCTTTCTAGTTCCCAAACTTGGAATTCTCTTTTTAGGGCCACCTGCATGCCCCGATGTATGCTGGAGCCCATGGTGTATTGGGGGATAGGAAAGAAAGGTGGAGGGTAGCACCTGAGGCTTCTTCGGAGGGTGTTGGGACCTGAATGGACCTGGAGGGGAAAGGCCCAAAGGAGGGCAGGCCTCAAACCTCACTGCTCCTTAGGTGGGGCCGGGGTTCCAAATCTGGCCCGGAGACTGGAGGCCCTCAGAGACCAGATTGGCAGCTCCCTACGACGTGGCCGGAGTCAGCCACCCCCCAGCAAGGGTGCACGGAGCCCAGGCCAAGTCCTCCCTCCCTGCTGAAAGCAAAGTGGAAACCCAGGAGACCAGCGTGCGACCTTGGGCTGGGCTCTGCGCTCTTGGGCTTCGGTCTCCCCCTATGTTGAATGGAGTAGCAGCTGCCGCTCCATCCTGCAGCTGGGCTGGGCAGACGACAGCTCCAAGGGCCGGGGAGCAGGGGGACCTGGAGGGGTTATGGGGAGGAACAAAGGAAAGGTACTGCCCCAGACCATGAGAAATGAGACTGGACTCAGGAGAAGCCAGGCAGCAGGGGATGAAACATACGAATAAAGAGAAGTGTCAGCTCCCAGTCTGGTTGGTCTTGTCCTCTGGGGTCGTCAGTCACTTCCCCGTGGGGGAACCCAAGAGCTCTTGGGGGAGTCTGAGGAGGAGCAAGGACCCTGGCACAGGTGTGTGTCCCCTTCTTTTCTGGACTATCCCAGGCTCCCATCTCCTTTCATGTATTATACAGGCTTTAACAGAACAGCTACTACGTGCCACTGAGTAGGCATGGGGAAAGTGAACGGTGGGCATCTCTAAGGGAAACTACTTTGGCCTCGAACCAGGGCAGGTGGGTGGTCGAGGGGCCAACTGCATGTGTCCTGGTGCTGGTGGGGCTCAGGAGTCCCGGCTTCTTATGCCACAGACCTGCTCTGGGACCCTAGGCAAACCCTGCACCCTCCCTGGACCACTTTCTGGTTTTCAGTCAATTAAATGGGGGACACTGCAGCTCCCTGTCCCATTGAGTTCTGGTGAGGGTCAAGGAGGTGAGGACTATCATGATTCCCAGTATCAGTACCCGGTAGGATGCAGTGGGTCTATGACTAGGAAGAAGTCCAGACACGACATGAGAAGTTGGGGGTGAGAGTGGGAGGACCTCATTACACAAAGAGCCTCGAGGCTAACCTGATTCTCCCATTTGTAAGTAGGGAAACTGAGACCCACATGGTTCATTCATTTGTTAGTTCATTTGTTCATTCATTGAACTGCATCAACTGGCATCAACTGCAAATCAAGTTGTAAGTTGGCAAATAAGAGTCACAAGGGGGCTGGCTGGTTAGTTCGGTTGGTTAGAGCACAGTCTTGTCACATGGTTCATTCATTTGTTAGTTCATTTGTTCATTCATTGAACTGCATCAACTGGCATCAACTGCAAATCAAGTTGTAAGTTGGCAAATAAGAGTCACAAGGGGGCTGGCTGGTTAGTTCGGTTGGTTAGAGCACAGTCTTGTAACACCAAGGTCAAGGGCTCAGTTCCCGTACTGGCAGCTGTCAAAAAAAAAAAAAAAAGACCCACGTGTACGAGGTGGCCTTGCCCAGGGAGCTTACAGATTGGTGGGTGGCAGACATTTACAACCTCACACGTGCTTTGATGGAGGAAGCCCAGGGGACCTGTGGAGGCACAAAGGAGGGTCATTCAATCAGAAATTGTTGAGGGGGTCAGGGAAGGTTTGCCAAAGAAGCTGTGATTGAGGCTTGAAGGGTGGACAGCAGGTGGCCCAGGGAAGGTAGAGGTTCCAAAGGTTGTCAGAAAGTACAGAGCCTTGCAGGCCATATCTGGAGTCTGGGCTTATGCCAGGAGCAAAGGGGAGCCATGGAAGGGTCTTGAGGAGTCACCAGCTTAGATTTGTATTTAGGTCATGCTGCCACTTGTGGGAAGTGACAAAGGTGAGCTGGAGGCAGGGGAACAGTAAAGAGATCAGCATGGGGAGGAAATGAGACGCTTTAGCTAGCAGTCCCTGAGCCAGGTCTCAGGTCAGGCGTCCCCCGAGACATGGGCCCTGGGCTCGGGCAAGGCTCCACGCTGGCCAGCCTTAGTCACAGGCTTGGGGAGCACTGGGGAGGAAGAGGCTGAGGCCAGAGAACCAGCCAGGGAGCAGCTGGGGAGTATCAGGTAGCCTGGGGATGCTGAAGGGAGGTCGTGGCACCTGGCACAGTACTAAGACTGGCCACTATTTTTCTCAGACCTGGCCTGAGAAAATCAGGACTTGTTTCCCTGTGACACTCTCCAGCACAAGATCAAGCAAGGAAAGATGCAGTGCTCTCCTGCTCACCATTCTGGAAAGTAGCTCTGGGAATGTCTCCTAATGGTGCCACCTTTTCCCCAGGGGGGTGAGGACCTGAAGATAAAACCCTGGGCCTCCCCCTCACAGAGCCCCTGACTCCTGAGTCTATGCAGGCCTGGTCCCTGAAGCTGGTACTGGCAGGGTCAGCCTGATTGGAGCCCACAGTGGCCAGGTTTTGAGAGGCAAGCCTGTAACTGGGCTCAAGGGGTGTTCAACAGTGGCAGTTTCTCGGAAGGTCAAGGTCCATGGAGGCAGAGCCCAGGGACATAGGGTGATGGCCAGACACCACAGGCAGGGACCAGGCAGAGTGGGCTGTGGTTAAGCTCACAGACTGAGCCACATAAGTTCAAATCCTGGTGACATCACTTAGCCATGAGATCCTGAGCAAGTGACTGAACTGCCCAAGGCACCTCATAGTCCCCCCTTATAAAACTGTCCTGGGGGTTAAATGCCCTGATATACAGAGAGTGCAGCATGCAGCTTTGCCTGCTGCAGACTATTTAGCCAAAATCAACTTTTAGTTAACACAACAATTTGATGGAATTGACAATCCTCGTTCGGACATAGGGTGATGGCCAGACACCACAGGCAGGGACCAGGCAGAGTGGGCTGTGGTTAAGCCCACAGACTGAGCCACATAAGTTCAAATCCTGGTGACATCACTTATCCATGAGATCCTGGGCAAGTGACTGAACTGCCCAAGGCACCTCATAGTCCCCCCTTATAAAACTGTCCTGGGGGTTAAATGCCCTGATATACAGAGAGTGCAGCATGCAGATTTGCCTGCTGCAGACTATTTAGCCAAAATCAACTTTTAGTTAACAGAACAATTTGATGGAATTGACAATCCTCGTTCAAAAAAAAAAAATTATTCTACAAATATTAACCTGCTTTGGGCTAGCATTGAACAAAACATAAGAATCCTTACCCTCAAGGAACACAGACAATAAACAAGAAAATGGGGAAAGTACACGGCATGTCAGACGGTGATAAATGCTGTGCAGCAAAACAGCGGGGGGCAGGGAGGCATGTGTGTGGCGCTCTGCCAGGGTCGGGGTACAACTGTAAATAAGGGGTTCTGGAAAGGTCTCGTGGAGGTGATGTTTATGCAGAGACCTGAAGGTGGAGGATGAGCATGATTAATGCCACATCAGCTTGGGTGGCTCTGCAGGTTCCTGCCTGGCTTCTCCCTACCCCGCAGAACCCTTATCTTACTGCATCATGGCCCTGCTTCCTGGGAGGTCTTGAGCCCCAGGCAGGGGAGGCCCCTGGCACTGAGTGTGAGAGTTTTCCTTAGCTGTCTTGGGAGAACGGACGGCGGCCACCCAGGGGGATCCAGGCCATTGCTGGTCCATTTGTGTGTGGATGATTCCTGCTGGAGCCAGCCACAGTTTTCCAGTTTGCTAGTTCCAGGTCACTCTCCAGTTCAGCAGAAACCCCACTTCCTTTTCCAGAGATAGACACAGGACTCAAGGGGATTGGCCTGCCCATCTGCTAAACCATGTGTCCATCTCTCAATCACTCTAGAACTGCCACTCTTCTAAGATCCTGAAACCCTTGGTGAATTCCACAGGGCCCCGTAACATATCAAGACTCTTCAAATCCATTTGGTTCCTACTGAGAACTTGCAGACTCAGGAGGGTATGTCTGGAAACCTGAAAGCTATAGGCCTTCCACAAATTGCTGGAACTTGGGAGCAGTTCTCTGGCTCCCAGAAACATGGCAGTAGTTCTCAAGAACTGTCAAACTTAAAAGAAGGTCTCTGGTACCTCAGAACATTAGAACTGGGGAAAGCTCTTGGAAACGCTGAAGCATAGTAGGAATTTCCCAGAATTCCAAATCCCTAGAATATCTCTCTGGAACTATGTTGAAGGTGGAAGGGATTCTCTGGCTGGGGGATGTGGTGGGGAGGGACATTCACCAGGGCTCTGAAGGCCATCTGTAATTTTCTACAACACTGGCATATCTCCAGTGACCAGGGTCTAGATCCCTAGTTGAGTTCTCTAGATCCTTGGGGACTCTGACTCTTAGCCAATGCAGAATGGGGAGCATGGCCAAAAGCCTTGCTGTGGGATGGCAAGCTCCAGGAAGAGCACTCCTGAGGATACTTGTGTTTGAAAGGCTGTGAGGTCTCAGATGGGAGGCCAACCTCCAGATAGACCCCAAGAGTTGGAGTCAACGAGAATTTGTGAAGACCCTATTGCCAAGAACATCTTGCTGCTTCAGCCTTCCCTCTGCAGCCCAGATATGCCCTGCTTTCTCTCACTCAGGGTCTTTCTTCTCTTTGCCTAATAACACATTTGCCCCAAATTCATATTCAATGTCAGCCCCTTTATGGTGGGTTTCAGCCCCTTGATGGAATATTTTATGTCCTCTGAAATGGCATTTTCCATTTCCATCTTCTTGTTGAGCTTCCAATGATGCATCTTCCTTTATTTTAAGCAAACAAACACGGCGGGGGGCAGGGTTGGGCAAGCAGGCATGGTTTTACTATGATCAAGGAGCAGTAGCTACTGGAACTTGTGGACAGGCTGGTCCTGTGGTTGGAGACTAGGATTGCAGTCAGGAGACCTGTGTTCCAAGCCTGCTCTGCTCACACCTCCTGTGTGAGCCAGACACGTCCCCCAGCCATCAAGGACATCCATACTGACTGGCTGGCAAGGAAGACCTTTGAAAGTCGGGCAGAGGTGTCTTCCTCAAGAAACTTCACTCAGCTTATGGTTCTGGTCATGTGACCACTCACTCACCACATGATTACAAAGTCTCTACTTGAAGACCAGGCTTTCTCATATTGGGTATGAGAGACACTAGCCTGACCCTGAGCCTCTGCCCTGTCCTCAAGGAACTTCTCGCCAAGTGGGGAAAGGACAAGCAAAGCGACAATTACTATACAATGGAATAGAAAACGACAATTAGCAAAGTTACCAGGTGCCAAGCGCTGCTCCCAGCACTCACCATGTGCCAACTCATTCATTTCTCACAACTCTGTGAAGTGGGTACAGCTGTCCCTTGATATCCATAGAGGATAGGTTCCAGACCCCCACAGATGCCAAATCCACAGATTTTGAAGTCCCTGATATAAAATGGTATAGTATTTGCACATAACCTATGCATATCCTCTTGTGTACTTTAAATCATCTCTAGATTACTTATACCTAATGCTATGTAAATGCTCTGTTACACTGTATTGCTTTTTATTTGCATTATTTTTTATTGCTATATTGTTATTTATTTTTCCTAACAT